TACATATAACATTCTGAAATCTTAGGTTTTCTTTTTTGATAAATGATTTTAGGATTTTGAAAGATAGTTACATGTAAGATTGGGCTTAAGGGTAAAATAAGAGAATGTCCTAGCAAATTTTAGCTGTCTATATATTTTATAAAACAATTGTGAATCATATTTTGATCTTTCAGTTTTATGCTAACAGCACGTTTAATTATGAAGTCAGTGATGTTGTATAAAACAATCAAGTGTTTAATATTGGAATATAAGCTTTCCTCAACATTTTCATTTACAGTTAATGCCCAGTGAAATGAGATAAGCTCTATGGAGTAGCAGAAATTACAGACTAATAAAAAAAAGAAAAAAGAAATTACAGACTTACATGTCTTTTATTTAGCAATATAATCCCATATTTAATCATGTACTTTACATAAAATAGAATTTTAAGTACTTGCTTAATTTTATGTGAAAAATATTTTGGAGTAAGTGATCAAGGTATTTAAATTTTAATCTAGTTCTTGTGAAAAATGTACTATAAGGCAAACATATATACATCTTCGAAGGAAGATGTTTATCTTAATCTTACATCTTAATGATTGTAGAAAAATATAAACTTAAAGAGATTTAAGTAACACAAGATATATTTTATTTGTTAAAGTGATTATCCGTGCCTGGAGTTATAACCTGTGCTTTCTGTTTATGTATTGATTTGGAATTTTACTGTCTTTTACATAAGTATCAAATCTGAAATGTTTAGGTAAAATATATTTTGATCAGAACTTCTAGATATCTGTTTATTTCACTATTCTTTTACTCATGTATAATGATCCTTAAAAGTATAATTCATAGAGATTGCTGTCCTTTATAACATGATATCATTGGACTGACTTTTTGTATGTTCCTAAAGATTATCTAGTTTATTAAAATTTAATAGGAGTAGGCAGACAATATGGAGTAAATTTCAGATACGTTTTAATTGGATGATATTGGATTAATTTCTTCTCACACAGTTACTTCACTTCTATGTTTCTTTCTGTCTGTTCCTGCATTGTCTTCTTAGAGATTACTTGCTTTGTTTTATTTGGATATCTCTTTTTTAAAAGATCTTCCTCTCCATATGTTGTAGAAAATAGCACTTAGTGCTAGAAATGCAGATTTCCATTATTCTTTTCTTATTTATGAAAATATTAATTTGGTGATTATTTGAGACATCACAGTTATATGTTCACAATTTTGAAATAACCATTGAAATAATAATATCACTTGGTGAATAAAGGAAAAAATTGGACTTCATTTCTTGCTTGAAAAAAGTCAATAAATCTGTATGTCAGTGTCTTTCTACTGTATCAAGGGCTAACTTATTTGGATACTAACAAAATATGAATATCACTGTTTGGACCATAGAAATCTTACTATTTATGATCAGGTTCAGGCATTTGCTTGTCTAGTATAAAATTTGCACTCAGTTCTCTTATGGGGTGTGAACAAAGTGCTATGGGATCAGAGCAAGGGGTCAATGCTCTCAGCTAACCAAGGTGGATGGCAAGGAAAGTTTCAGAGATTAGATTAGATTTGGACTGACTGTTGAACACTTGGTGGGATTTTATAGAGAATGTGGCAGAATATACCACAGAGGGAGGACATAGGGCACATAAGCAAAGTCTCTGAACATGAGTGTGCAATAGCCACTGAATACATATTTGGAAAGACTAGTTGGACCAAGTGTGGAGAAGTCTGTTGAGAAATTTGATCATTGCTTTGAAGATCATGTGGGGTCATAAGACATATTTATGCAAGGAAATTGCATAATCATATGTATGTTTTTAAAAAGTGGATTTTGTGAAATTTCGAATTGAAAGGAGAATAGTAAAATAAGGAAATAATCAAATATACCAGTGACAGACTGAATGATGGTGATACTAAATAAAAGACCCAGGAAGAAGAGTAGGTTTGTGAATCCAGATGATGAATTTCTGTGGGACAGTTCATTGATCTAACCATGGGCATGGGAAACACAAATGAAGGTATTCAGACAGTTGGAAATACATGTGCATTCTAGAAGATTCCCATTTCAAATTCAAGTTCTACTATTGACATTCATGTATTGTGTGACTATTTCTAAACTATTTACACATGATTATTGCTTAATTCATCCATTCAATAAACATGAGAACTCACAAGAAGTGTAGCTAATTCTACTTTGTTTGTGAAAGTGTGTTAGTAGGAGGGTATGAATGTCACAAAGTTGGTGAAATTTCCACTGGACTTCTAAGAATGATTGTAAATTTGCCTGGCAGAATATTATAGTGATTGAAACAAAGCTGCTAGTGACTCATGATAGTGACTGACAGAAATTGTGAACTGAGGCAGAAAGATAATACACTTTTTAAAATGTGTACTGCATGAAGAGTTAACTCTTCTTTATCTCTCTATCATCAGTAAATTGTCTTTTCCTAATGTATAACTTTTTGCCTTTCTAACAGAAGCCACTATATCCTATAAGATTGCATGAGTAACATTAATTCAGCTATTAGTTACCTTAATTTGATATTTAAAAACTTGAATAGAATGACAATAAAATAATTGAATAATGCCTAATTATTCTCTGATATTTGGAAACAATATATGAATTATAATTTTTTAGTCAAGAAAATGTACCTAGGACAGAATGTTAACACTATTCTATCCAACTTTACACACGAAATGCAGAACAAAAATGAACCACATTGAAAACAATGAAATGTCGAAATCTGAACACCTAGGATTTTTATTTTTTGAAGAGGCACAGAGGCTAATAATACATATTCAGGAAAATTACAATATGCCTTAAAATGTGAATAAATTTTTCACACTAAATATATATCACCTGAAACTTAAAAATATATTCTGTCTTTGTAACTGTGAATGCCTTACACCTCAAGAATAATACAATTGATGATTGTGACTTTTCCCATTTGTCCCTGAAGGAATAGTAAACCATACTAGCAGTCCTATAGTTTGACTCTTTCACCCCACAGTCTGCATGTTTGGAATCTTTCATACATCCACCCATGGGTTGGAGAGTTTGTGCACATCAGAAGGTGACTGTAGTTCAGAAAATCTAGTTTCTAACACAAACACAAACACTGCTAATATAGAGGTAGCTTGCCTTGGGCAAATCATTGAGCCACAGCATGCTTGAGTTTCCTAAACTATTAAATAAATTGAGGGAGTCATAGATCCTCCTGACATTTTACAAAATAATAGATGTGTGTTGGTATATTTTCTGGGAAAGATTTCAGTTCTACCAGTTAGGGTTCTTGATTGCAAACACTAGAGGCACACTTGTTAAATGGGATTTTTAAAAAGATTGTATTAGAAATGTTGGTCTCAGAATGCAACTTTGAGCAATCAGCTCATGCAGCAACCTGGCAAAGCAAGACACTGCCAAGAACTAGTTCTTGCTGCCATCACTTCTGAATGTCACCGCGTGCTGAGCTCCACAGCTCCCAGACATGCATTGCTATGCTGTTGCACTTGCCACTCTGTCACAGACCCTGTGCCTTTGCCTTCACCCTCAAGCATCAAAGCCCTGACCAACGGCGTCTGGCGTGTCCCTGTTCTGGCCTCCAGGGTATAGGAAGAGGGAACATGACTGAAGGAGGAGGGGACCCTGCCTCCTGCTGAATTTGGGCCTCCCTCCAAGTAGAAGAGAGATTTGTTGAAGGGCAGCCAGAAAAACACTATCCACTGCCATCTTTTTTCACCAGATTCTCAAAGGGACAGTGACCCTTTTGCCAGAAAAGATTGTGAATCACTGCATTCGATTATCTTTAATTACAGCTCTGAAATTATATGATTCTAAATACTGATTTTTCTTTCCTCCATCATCTACCAACTTGGAATTTCTTTAACAAGATAGAAGTTCAGCAACAGAGTGACTAACAGTATTGCAGGGTCAGCCCTGAAGCGTCTTGTGATCACTTCAGTGGGTGTGTAATTATGATGGTTGGGCTAATGACAGAGAGTAACAGATGTCTCGGAGCACTGTCACCCAACTGAATTTCTGGCAAACCAGAACTGATTTCTCAGACAAAAGGAATTTACTTTCTCATATAGCCTCCTGATGCGACATTGCAAGTATATTAAGATGCAATATGGCATAATGGGAAGGTGCGCAGTTGAGGGTAATGAGACCCGATATATGTTTTGAATCTATCCCTTCCGAGTTAGGTCACCATGGAAAGGTACTTGGCCTCAATATGTCTCTGTGTCCCGTTTAGTAAATGACAGTAATGATGCTAGTTAATGTGTGGTATTTGAAAATAAAATGATGTAATACAGGGAATAACAGTATTTAACACATAGTTACAGTTTAAGAAATACTGATGAAAATCATTATAATGGTACTGGTTAAGGGACTCCCAAGCTATGAACCAAATTCATTTCAAAAAATGCTTATACTTTTAAATGTTAAGTCAAGAATAAGAAAGATATTTAGGCACTGTGCTTTGGCATATGTTCCATATTAAAATACATTCTATGAACTATAAATTGACTACAAATAATCACTAAAACATCACATTGAAATGCACCTACAAATTTTGTCTAATGAGGAAGATAGACCCAAAATGAAAATATGAAAAACGACCACATTTTGCTAAATTTTGTCTCTCTCTCTCTCTCTATATATATATATAGGCATCATATTAAGTTGAATGTAATATGGCATCAAATTAAGTTGAATATGAAACAGCCAGAGTTTCATAACTGATTTATTATTGAAAGAAGACTAGAACAAAAAGTAGAGAGAGGCAAATATAAATGACTTCTGTCTGATCAACTCCTGACCTCCATGGCATTTGTTCTTGACCTCCAGCTTACCTTAGGGAGGATAGAAAAGTTCTTTGCCTAACTATCACCAGGTACAGCCTGAGTGAGGTCTAGGAGATATGGGTTCCATGGGAGGCTTATTTCCTTGAGACCTTAGTGATGTTATAACTCTCCTAATGAGTGTGCGCTCTCTTTATACTTTTCAGGTAAATGTGAATGTGGAAAATGCACTTGCTACCCACCAGGAGATCGCAGGGTGTATGGCAAGACATGTGAGTGTGATGATCGCCACTGTGAAGACCTTGAGGGCATAATCTGTGGAGGTAGGAACATTTCTCATAACTGTATCCTACCTGCAAACAACTTACGTCATCTGACTTTCTTATTCTACTGATTCTTGTTATGTAAGTTGTTGTTAAAAGGAAGATAAACAAAAAGCAATATACCATTGAACCTAAAGGAAATGTACAGTTAGTTTTGTAATGGCCTTTATTTCCTGGCACTATTGATTTAGAGAGTATGTGAAAGTACACAGTACACTATCAGTAAAAGACCATTGAGTCTAAATTAAGTATTAAGTACTACGATACTTATGACTGTAAAAGGTTTTGCTGCAAGTTAACACTTTAACATGCTTTTTATTACTTTATACATAAACACGGATAGAATCACTCACAAACTTGAAAAAAAGCAGAAGATTATGCTCTGAGTTTAATTACAAAATCACAAGAGAAAGACACTCAGATTCTATGATGGCTCTCATATCTAACAAGAGCTTCCTGAAAGTAATTAACGGTCCATAGGGAAAACAAACAAACAAACAAAACAAAACAGGCAGATTGAGGATAGTCAGCAGAGGTAATTGCAAAAATGAGAGTACCAGAAGTAGAATGTTCATGTGAGGATTTCCAGGGGACAGAATGTGGGTCAATATTATTCTTGTAGCTCAGTCTTGGAAAACTTCATATTATAGAGATTGATGCAAGTAGATTAGAACTCCTTCCAGGCCTCCAGTACAGTTGAAGTGAACTGGACATGGAATCACATTAAAAAAAAATTGTATTTCTTTGAGATAATTATTATAAAGCATTAGGCACTATTTTTGGAAAAAAATAGAATGCATGTCTTACTTATGGAAGTCAGGAGCACCATTCATCTAACATCTCTACCTATCTACTTATCTATCTAAAAATCTATCTAATCAATTATCTATCTATTCTCTCTCAATCAGCAATGAGACACAGTTGGGCCAAAAGTATTTTCTCCTTTGTGCTGGGTGGTTTATCTAACACCACCATCATGGCAGCCACCCTAAGGGATTATTTCTACTCCTTTCATTTCATAACTGAAAAATTGAGTGAGATTGAAGGAGTTCATATTCCTCAACTAAAAAGTGGCAGATCTAGGATTTGAGCCCTGATGTTCAGTTGTTCAGTTCACAGAACATTCACTATGTCACAGTTTTTCTCAGAGCAACATCAAAGTATTTTCACATTACATCAATATTATTTTTAGGTTTAATCCTCTTCTCACTGATATTAATTACCAGAAATAAATATCAAAGTAAGTTTTAGTCTTTTTGTTTGTTAAGGACATGATATATATTAACTCATTTAATGCTCACAAATATATATATATCTCCTACCTGGCACCTGTAGCCTACCTGACTCCTAGAAAGTACCATGTATGTGTTTCTGCTCTTATTATCATAGCCATTGTCTTTCTGATATGCAGTGTTTACTTCACTTGGGCCTCCTTGCCCACCTTCTTGGTGCATTGGTAAAGTGGTTGATACTGTAGAAAACTGTTACATTTCTGTGCCCATTAAATTATATATTTCTGCCTTCATGAATCTCTATTTATTTCCAACTTGGAGGGAATCAAAGATGAAGACAAATTTCTCTGTCCGCCTGTTGGATGAGATCAAATGCTAACTGTGTTAACTCAACTACACATCACAACCATACATGACAGTAATAGGATGCATAGGACTTGGCCATGTGGAGATAGTGGGGAGTATGGCATAACATTCAGAGAGCAGCATGTGCTGATGTGTGTGGGGGGAAAGAGAGCATGTGACATGACATGTTCCAGGAACATTTGAGAAATGGAGAGGTGCCCTGTGTGACTGGGGATTAGAAAGCAAAGGGGGAGAGTGTGACATGTTTTGTAAACCATGTTAATGACCTGGGACTTTACTCCCCGAGTGACAGGAAACCAAAAGGGGTTTAAACAAGGCAATGACATGATCACAGTATTTTTAAAAGTATCTCTGACTGTCGAGTGGATGGCTAGAAGGAATCTGTTGTGAGTTGGTAGGTGAATATAGACGTTAGATGAGTCCTCGAGAGAGATGAAGGTGCTTCAGCAAGATGTCGGACAGTAGAGAAAGAGGATCTTGGATGTGTTGGAAAATATTTTGGAAGAAGTGTGGACAATAGTCTAACAAAATCCTTCATCCTGCTGTAAGAGACTCTAGCCCTCTGTTAAACTCCGCTCCAGTTCCCTGAGAACAGATGAATGCGATGTATTTCAGTGTTACCAAGCAACACTGCTCATGGCACAGTTGACCTATGATTGATGAATTTCAACTAGATTGGGAGGAATTATAAATGAACTATAAACAGCTTATGGGAATGCCATGCTTTTGGCTTCCATAAGTAACATAACTCTGCCAAAAGGCATGTCCCTAGAGGTCTCCCTGAAAGCTGTGCTTATGAAATCATTAGGAAAAATTTTGGCTCCTGTGGGGTAAGAACCTTCTAAGCCAGAAAAGTCTCAACATCTGTGCAATGTTAATCTCATCCCTGTGAATCTGGGCTGTGTTACATAAAGAGTATAATCTCCAGACAATTTCATGAGCTGTCATCCCCATAAACTGCTACAGGGACTCCTGTAGAGAATTCTGGGTGCCTATTGCTACCCTGCTCTCAGAATGTGGCTTCTGTTCCATATCCTTCTAAGAAAATTGGTGTCAAGTGTCACTTTGAATGATCAGTTGAACCACCCCCTTTTCTAAAACACACACAGCATTTAGGGAAATTCACGATTGAACACTGTGCGTGAGGGTTAGGGTAGAATCAAGGACGATCCCAGGTTTCTGGTTTGAGTAATTAGATGGGTAGAGAGACTAGACTTGTGTTGTGTACGAACTGTCTTCATTTATTGAAAAAAATATTTCTTCACAGAGGGCAGCAGTAATGGAGCAAGTTGGATGTATTTCAATTTTGTTCCCTTTTCCTGACATTCCAGTCCTTACTGTCACTTCTTCTTGTAAATATTTCCTTACCGTTCTTCCGTTCTTTCATCATTCTTCCAAATCATCTCCTTTAGGATGTCTTTCTGAAGTTATTTCACACATCCACTATGTTCATAGCATGTGACATTGTGCTAAAAGTGTTCCCGAGCTGCCTCTTTTCTTCAAGTCTGTACAGTTCGCTCATGAATGTAATTGTATTTCTTCTAGATTTTATTTATGAGGGGTAGAACAATTTTTAAAATCTAGACTCATGAATCTTCTTTGGATATTGTGAGATTTTTGTCTAGAGAAAGTCCACATTCTGTGTATGGTGTTCCCAGTTGCTTTAGTGTGTACATGTGTGCACTTTGCTGCATTTTTTTTGGTATAACATTTAAGTAAGTAGAAATAACCATTTTTGTTAGGAGCTAAGTGAGACAGTGACATGCAGGAAGATATATGGGAACCTGATATTCAAATAGACCAGAATTTGGATTCTACCTCTACTTCCCATTAGTTGCAGTAACTAGGGCAGTTTATTTAGCCACCCTGTCTTGGTTTACTTATGTATTTACTTGGTCTCTCTGCTTTGGTTTATTCCTGTATACGATAAGGATAATATAATTTCCGCCATTTGATTTTATGTTAAATATGAGATATAAAGAATAAAATATCCCTGGTGTTATGTGCTGGTGAACATTCAGTGAATACCCTATATCTATAATGGATTGAAAAGATTGAAGTGGTCATCTCTACAACAGGACAAAACAGTACAACTATCCCAGGTATTTTAAGGCACTAGCTACAAGGTGTTTTGGAAGGAATTTGCAATTATACAAATCATCAGTTTTGTGCCTCGGGGAGAGAACTGCAGGTTTTTTTGTCAAAGCAATTAGCCGCTGCCCTCATGGCGGCCAGAGGGTGAACAAATCTAACTAAAAAGAGAGTGTGAAACACACAGACATCATCCCTCTAGTGTGAGGAGAACAAAATTGAGAATCACTAATTTGGGTAATTTTCTTAGTTCACCACCAGACACTGACCCATAGTTTCTGTGACCTTTCGCCTGGAGGAATGGGCTAAAACCTGAGTATCCATCATCTAACCAGAGAACAAAATATGATCCCTGACTCCAAAGCAGGGGCTGTCTTAGCATTTTAGCAAACAAGAAAATACATAAAACCAAAAACATGTATTAGCTCACCTAATCAGCAGACACATGAGTACTAAGAGTCAATGCTGTTGATCTTCCTTCCTAACAATAGCACTAAAGATGATTAGACCAATTCTGGTAGATTGGGATAAATTAGCAATTATATCTGAAGGTGAATGTAAGTAACTTCATAATTTTAAGTAGTTCAGTTTCGATTAAACCAAAATTGCAAGCTGAAAAGGAGTCATGAAAATGACTAAAAAAAGAAAAATCAATATGAAGTAAGACCATTTTTCATTTAATTAACTTATTTGTGAGTCATGTTCAATTACCATGGACCATTTGGGGACTCTCTCAAAACATCTTTATTAAGAATATAAACTTATGTGACCTCTGCATACATTGATTTATTATCAAATAAGTCACTATTCAAAAAAACATGCTTTGTGCAGAGTGATAATCTCTAAGATTTATTTATTTTTAGTGGCATATGATAAGATTTCATAAAGAAAATATACGCACATACTGGCTCACGTGTGTTTTGTTGTTTGGGCTGAATGTAAGCCTCATCAGAGTCTTTCCTCCTGAACTCCGTATGTGCAGGGTGAGAATAAGAAACAGACTGCTTATTGCTTTTCTCCTTCCCTCTATGCTCCTGGAATAGCTGCCCATGAGTCCAATTTAAGAAACAAGAAGGGATAATGAAGAGCCACCTCTTAATTACACAATCAGTTCACATTTCTTCAGGGAGTTCTCTAGTTCATAGCTGCAATTTGAAGGAAATCATGCAGCCTTAGAGTATAAATTCAATGACTGCCAGGCACTGCTGGACATTCTGTGTTGAGGAAGAGCTCGAACCACTCACTCAGGTCAGGACTTTCTTAGATGGACAATGCAGTCTGCAGGTGATTGTCTCCAAATTACATATTAAA